CTGGTCTTTTCCAGAACTGGGTGTGTGTTGTGTGCATTTCTTCCAGTGTCGGCTATTTTCATCCGACACTGGCTAAATAATCTACCTAGGAGTTTTTTTGTGTTGCCAGTTCTGGTCTTTTCCACAACTGGGTGCCAGTTCTGGTCTTTTCCAGAACTGGGAATTTCAACGGAGATCGTGACATCCAAAACGTGAGACGGAGGGATTCTGCATTTCATGTCAGCGAAAATGCCGGCGGAGAGCAGTTTGGGATTTCAAGGCTTGGGGTTGAAGCCGTTCGATCCTAGCACGCACCATGTCGGCGCCACATGGTGACCCGCCGATTCCTCCTGAGAAATGTCATGTTGCTATGTGTGCCTGAGTCAAATGGTGGTGGGCAGGGAGCCGGACGAAGCCCCATGTTTTTTTGGGAGGGGTGGGAAATTGTGTCAGAGGGCGGACAGCATGTAAATATTGTCATTGTAATGTATTGCATCACTTGAAAGCGGTTGAGTTGTGCCTCATTGTGCCTATTGGTCAAGTGCCTATATGTTTAATTTTGTTACTTTGCTGAGTAGACGGTAGTATCATTTAGTAAACTCAATAGATTTTTTAACATTATTGAAAAATATATATATATAGGGGGTGTGGTACATGTCACATACCCAAGGAATATTTACACATATATATATATATATCCTTGAGTATCAGGGAAAGAGTATTATATATACAGTGGGATTGCCAGATGTGACATACCCATAAAATAGTTTTTGAATATTTGTTTGTCCTAGGCACAGGCAGTATGAAGCCTGCCGTGTGGAAAGCCAAACATGGCCGATGGGTTTCGCAATGTGCAGCTTGGCCCAAAGATAACAAAAGAATATACAAGAATACAACAGCTGCTTGAATTTCATTGTTTTATATTCTAATTTATATTTTCCTTTTCCGCCATGCGCTCATGCCTGTAGGACAGTGAGAGCTTGACGTCAACGGGCCACAAGCGGGCATCTCACCATTGTTGCGTTTGGCGCCACGGATATTGGGTCAACAGCATCAGACTCACCGCAACACTTGCCTCTCTTGCTTCAGTACCTCAGCTAACTTCAGTTTCGCACAAATATATTCCACAAAGGATAATGAAAGATATATATCAGATGCACCTGCCGTTACCTGAGCCTGTCATGACCTCCTTCCAAGGACACGGCCGTTGATCGTGACCAACCTCCTGATGAGCATGGTGAGCAGAACAGCAAGTCTGATGCGAATCTTCCTCCAGAGGCGTCCATTGGGGATGGAACGCGGTTGGGTGGATATTTTTTTAATCATTGACAGCTAAGCCTAAGCCGGAGCCTTCAGCATTACATAGCTGCAGCCAGCTCAAGTTGACAAATGTCCAGGAGCCACCTTTACCTCCTTCAACTGATTTGCCTCCAGACATGGGTGATCCCGGGGAGGCCTGCGTGAGGGATGGAACGTGGTGCTGATTTGTCGTATCAGATAGACCAGTAAGCCGGAGGTTTGACATTCCTGGACAAAATCTCACACAGGAATCAGGAGGATGAAGATAGAATAGGAAAACATAGTATTGGATGGGAATAGAGGATGGTAGGCCATGTCCACACAATCCCACACATGTCGTAGCCACTTTCCTGACAAGATCAATGTTCATCAGGACCTTCCTCCGCCTTCAGAGCAAGCAGCTGTGCCAGCACAGACGCCTCCTGCAGAAGAGCCAATTCAAACTAAGCCTGGTGATGTGGCTTGGCGCAGGGATTATGAGGAAAATAGGGGGGATTACTGATCCCCAAATAGTCCAATGGTTGTCTAGATGCTATAGACCCCTTTAATAATTTGGGATAATTTGGGTGTCTGGTGATACGACTTGGTGATACTTGGTGAAGGACAGTGGATGAACAATACATGGGGCACGATATAAAATATTTCGATGCTTTACCAGATGCCATAAACTCTCTTAATAATTTTGCTGTTTGGAACTTCTTGTTTTTTGCTGGCCCCATCACCTCATTATGACATTTGCCAATCATCCTGGAGGTTCCTCTCCCTGCAGAGCCGGTAGCTGTGCCAGTTCTTCCAGGAGCAGAGCAGACACCTCATCCCAAGGCTGAACCGAGAACCCATGCCAGCATCAAATCTGAAGTGAAGGCTTCAGGGGCAGAGCAGACACCTGCGCCACAGCAAACAGCTCCTCCAGAAGAGCCACTTCAAACTAAGCCTGGTGATGTGGCTTGGCGCAGAGATTATGAGGAAATAGGAGGAGTTTCCGACCCTAAAATAATCCAATGGTTGTCTAGATGCTATAGACCCTTTGAGTAATTTGGGTCTCTGGTGATACGACTTGGTGATACTTGGCGAAGGACAGTGGATGAACAAGACATGGGGCACTATAAAAAATATTTCGACGCTTTATCAGATGTCATAAACTCTCTGAAAATTTTTCTTGTTTGGACATTTTTGTTTTTGCTGGCCCCATCACCTCATTATGACATTTGCCAATCATCCTGGAGGTTCCTCTCCCTGCAGAGCCGGTAGCTGCGCCAGTTCTCCCAGGAGCAGAGCAGACACCTCATCCCAAGGCTGAACTGAGAACCAAATCTGAAGTGAATGCTGATGCTGCAGCTTCTTCAGGGCCAGAGCAGACACCTGGTGTGAGAACCCCGGATAGGGTCAAACCTCCAATCAAGGCTGATCCAGCCCAGAGTTTTGGTGCGGCAGCTCCAGAGCAGACTGAAACGGCAACTCTGGCTCCGGTCAGGTTCAAATCAGAGCCTAAAGTGAAGGCCGATGGCTGGGATCCAGCAAGGGGATTTGGGGATGACCTATTGGATGCGCACATCCGCATGCCATATCAAGTACCTTGGCCCGATCCATACGTAGTGTTACAGTCGCATACCAGGGGGGCCCGGCAATCCCAGGCAATACCACGCAATACCCATCAAATCCCATCTATATTCCACAATATCTCGCAGCTGCTTAGGTATACTGTGAATCTTGCAGTCATGATGGTTTGCCGACCGAGATGTCAAAAGAGAGCTTCTACCAGATGCCTTTCAGGAAACAGTGGCTTGCTTTCTTTTTGTTGATCATTTTTAGATTACTGTTTGTTTTTTTTTCAGCTTTTTTACGTGTTGAGATTCCACCGTAGATGTCTTGGCTTTGAGATGCATTGATCATCTTTGATCAAGTGTGATCTCGGGATCTTAGGCGTTCATATTGGAAGACAACCATGCTGGAGCTTTCAGCCTGGGCCCGTTTCTGCGACACCCAGCCAGGCGCTCCTGAGGCGTTCCATTCACTTCGCGATGAGGCAAAGTTCAAACTCACTGCGGCTTCGCCCCTGCGCATTTGCAAGCACAGATTTCCTGACCTTGTGCAGTATCTCGAGTCCAAGGGCGGTTTTGGGGAGGCTTGGATTGATTTGGTAATAATATTTGGTATGATTTGGAATACTTTTGATATCTTTTGGTAATAATTGGTTTTCATGTGGTGCTGAGTTTGTTTGTCAGGGAGTTTGTGTTGTTGCTGGGTAAACAATATTATATACATTTGTATACTATCGTTTTCCGGGTTTCCACGAGGACCACACGGAGCTGTGGCAAGATGTCGAGCGTGGGATCATAGACGGGTGGCCAAATGCACCGATTGTCTACGGAGAAATGCTTGACTTTGGGCAAGTTCTGCACGGCCTGGTTGGAGTGGTGAGAAAGCATTATGGCCCGGGGTGGCCAGAGCATGTAGCGGTATTGAATCCGTCAGTCATCGAGCGGATGGATCTCCTGGCGCTGCAAAAATATCCCAAATTGATCATGGTTCCTTTGCCGCTCGCTGTGTTTAGTGTGTCTTAGTATGTTTGAGATTGTAAAGAATATTTCAGAGAATAGTCATGAATAGTCGATACTGGGATATACTGGGTCTATCTGGGCCTCATACCTTCCAGATGCAGGTACACCGAGAAGCATCAAGCACTTATGGTTCTCCGTCGGTACGAGCGGCGAGCAGCTGTCATAGATGGCCTGGGAGATGAGGCCATTGAAGTCTGTGCTGACGATGTGGTCAAACGGATTGCGAAATTGATGAAACACATTGAGCCGAGGTCCTTGGCCAAACATTACATAAGATTTTACATTTTTCTGTATTTTATTTTTCGAGATCCCAAATATACCCGAATCAACCTGAGTCACTGGAAACGCCTTGTTTTGAGGATGTCGAAATGCGAGCTTGGCCTCCTCTTCGTGCCTCAGCAGAAGGATTCTTGGTCATGCGGCTTCCGTACCATTCTGGTTGCCCAGGCCCTGTTGAACAGTGGATCGGGTTTGCTCTCTCACGATGAAGCATGGCTGAAACCCATGGAGGACTTTGAGATTGAAGACCATGATGTCAGTGAGAAAGCGATGCTTGACCTTGCCAAGAGATGGGATGAAATCACCAGACCAGTAAAGCCCAAAGCAGAGGTGGTTCCAGCACCTTTCAATCATGTGAAGAGAGAAGGTCATGTGAAGGTGGAACGTTTGCTGCGTCCTGTGGCAACACCATGCAGGGCACTACCCAGAGAGCCTGAAGCAGTGCCAGCACAAGCAGCTGCTGCAGCTGGTGCAGCCGATCCAAATTCTTCTACTTCCCCAAGCCCACCATGTGAGAAGCCTGCTGCCCCTACTGATGCGGGCAGTGATGAGAAGACTGATTCAGCCGAAGCCGAACAGAGCTTTGAGGAGGCTTTGACCAAAGGTGTGATGCAAGTGCTGGAGAACCGGACCAAACAACAAGCGTTGAGGAGGGATGAGAAGCTGGCGAAAAAAATTCTTGCCAAGGCCGGAGTCCGATTCAACTAAGAATTTCAAAAGCAGCATTGCGCCAGACTTGAAAAAGGTCATTGGCAAAATTTTCTGGCCGCTGTGATTGGAACCTTGCACAAGCGCAGTGATAACAACTTGAATTGCTTGATCTGTCGGAACTTGATTGCATCCTTTGATGTTCCAAGGGCAGCTGCAACAATTGCAGCCGAGATGGATCGCCAAAAAGGCAAGCCATCAGAGCCAACAGGTCCTCTGCCAGAGCCTGTCGATGCTGCTGCAGGTGATGGAGTCATTGTTCCCCATGTTCCCGTGGAGGGAGGGGAGGACTGTGTTCCTGTAGAGCCAGCCTGCAAGAAAGCTCGGCGTGGCCGGCCTCCCAAGGGAGAGAAATCCGATTTCAACCTCCTGAACTTCTTGGAGAGTGATCGTTCTGGGCAATACAAGCGGCTTTCAGAAGAAGAGGCCTGATTTGGGGCAAGGGTTGGTTTGAGCGTACATTGATGTAATTTATAGTCTGTAAGCAGCTTCAAAGTGCAATCAATAATATTCTAGAGGTCTCATAGGTGTCAAACACTATTGGAATATTTACCTAATTTGGAGATGTTTGGAGGATTCTTAACATTTGCGCTTGTTGTGGCACATGTTCCAGATTTTGGGCATATTTGGACCCTATAGCCTGTGAACATCATTGTAGTATTCCAAGGGACTCCTGGGGGTCAAGTACTTGTGGAATAATTTTCCATTGTGGGGTGGTGAAAGCAATGATGAAACATTGTGAAAAATATGAAATATATTATATAATATATATATAATGACCATTGATTAGATTCAGTAAGAATATATCACAATAGTCTTCCTTCAACATGATCTTCCAGAGACTTTACTGGAACATATTCAAACTCTGGAAAACTATTCCAAGGGTTGCTTAGAGGCTGCGTACAGTTGAAATATTTTGTACTGTCTCATTTGATCAGTTCTTTGTAGTTTCTTTTTGAAAAGAAACATTGTGGCCATCGACCTTTAAAATATTCCCTGAGTATTCTTGGACATGAATACCCTCAGAATATTTTAGCTATATAGATCTATATAGTCAAACACGTCCTCAACAATCAGAATGCCTCAGAATCCCTTGTGCAGGTCATGCAGAGGCTTCATCCGAACAAGCGAACTGATGATGCTCTTGCCAAAGAGATGAGGCAGAACCCGCACCAATGCCTGATCTGCGGTACGTTCTTGAAGTTTCCCATTCTCACCAATCTTCTTGGCCTGATTCTGGAATTGATTAGTCCAATATTTTGGTATAATTTGGTATATCTTACTAAACACAAAGGTTCCCTCAGAAAAGCTTCAACGGGCTTGGCTGATCACATTCAAGCCTCAGTTTTCGCGATTTGGTGCCCAAGAGCTCAGGAACCGACATGAAGAATCTGTTTTCCACAGGCAGGCTGTGGCCAGGCAGCAAGGAGTTGAAGATTTGGAGGGCCTCCCGCTGTGCAATGGCTTAGATCTTGAATCAGAGGAAGGATCTTGCACTTCTTTTGGCAATCCTGATATGCTTTCTTTGGTGCGCCTGTGGTTGGGGACCGGTTGCATTGCTGTTGAGGGATCAGCCCTGTCCAGCATCTTCGTAAAGAACGCAGCGCCTCCAAGCACTGGTATTATTATCCAAGATGAATCTTGTGCGACTGGAGGCCAGAGTCATGTCTTGCGTGGAGGCACATGCTGCAGACAGTGCCTGTCAGCAGCAAACAGGAAGAAATGCATCGATTTGGTGAAGGAATGGGCTTTTCGGGTGTCCTTCGCAGACTTGACGCATACCTGTCTCTTGCCCGACAGAACAGAGCAGTTGTGCCAGGCATCGTGGATGAAAAGTGCTTTCCCCGAGGTTGCAGACCAACCGTTGGAGAATATTTCCTACCACGAGGCCTGCAGCAGAACAAGAAATCTCTTTATGCACATCCCAGTCTCCAAGCAAAATGCAGCATTGGTGTCGTTCATTGGTCGGTCTCTGAAGTTTTTGACTCCTTCCATGATTGCGGGACTCAGCGACGAAATGAAAAAGAAGGTTGTGACGTACGTGGATGCTCTGGCTAGTGGTAAGCTGCAGCCGTATGAGAGTTCAGCAATGGCAATTTGGTCTTTGAATTAGTTTGTATTTTTTTGTCTATTCGGCATTTTTTTGGATTTTTTTACGTACCTTTCCTTTGCTCTCACTCCATCATGTGTCAGGAACTCATTGGGTCTGGCTCTCTCAAGTCATCTGACTTGGCGCGCACACTAGTGCCAATGCTTTTACGGAAAGCAGACAAAATGAGGAGAGGCTGCACTGAGAGACTTGGTGGTGGTTTGGATGCTAACGCCGACCTGTCCACCGGCGTTGTCGAGTTGGGTTTCCTCCTTGGAGGTTGCATCAAGTCACCTGAGATCCAAAAAGCGTTTGGAATCGCCCGAAACACCGCGAAGGAGATCGAATGCCCGTTGATCAACAGCTTCTTGCCTCGATTCTTCCTGGCCGACGGAGAGGTCTTGGTTGAAAGCGTCTCTCGAGCATTGAACTTCATTGAGAGTGATGGGATGCATCGTGATTACATGGTCTGTCGTGACGAAGTCGTGTACTCAAGAACCTACAACATGGTTTATGGCCTGAGTGTCTTGGCATGCATTGGCCCTGCATGATCCTACCATGCCTTTGAAATCCTTTGAATTCCTTTGCATATTTACTATATTTGCGGTTTGTTTAATGTTTATGATTAGTTTTCAGTGTTCTTCATAAGATTTGGGAAGACTTTGAACAACTTTTGGACACATGCATGCTACATACATAGCATGCTACAGCATTGGTCTGAGGTCCTGACAATCCACGGCAAAGCCATATTGTGGGCGGCAGCTATCCCGAGCATTCTTTTGTAGAATCTCAACATGGACGGCCGCCCATGGAACACTTGGCACAGGTCCACTGCTGTACCCTGTTGAAGCGGTTGGACACCTGCTCCGGAGGCTTTATGGTGCAGCATTTGCCCCGCAGGAAATTGATCACAGCGGCCTCTGAGGCCCAGGACATCGCCATCTTCCTTGACGCGTGTTGTCAAGCCAACAGCGACAATCCGCCGCTGGTTGTTGCTACAGATTGCCACTTCTCCTTTGATCTGTTCCACAGGATCCTGGTAGGGTTGGTCAAGAAGACTGAGTTCCAAGATCTTCCCTTTCTGCGCTTCGTCAGGCCAGGTAGTGCGCAGGTGAAGTCGCCGCTGTTCCCCTTTTTGACTATGGTCTACAAGGGCGATGCCTCTCCAGTGTATGGGACGTCAGATCCTAAACACATCATGAAGGCTGTCTCAAGGGCATTGCGAAGTCCAAAGAGAGTTCTGAAAATGTTCCTCGTGAACGTTTCAGCATACTTTTATGATCTTTGACATTGTTTTAGGATTTTTTCTAGTTGTGTAATGTGGGCCTGCCTACATGAAAATATTCCACACCACCTTTAGAGGTCAGAGACCCCAAGAATACATGTGTTCATGAAGCCTTTGTGTCAGATTGCTTTGTGCCTGCCACTTTACAAAATATTCCACACCACCTTCAGATGTCATTGACCCCAGGAACCATTTCAATATACCAAGTGAGAGCACATGAGAGAACCCCACCATGCACCACTGGACATATAATGACACAATATGACATATACATATAAGAACAATAACTTGGAAGCTTTTGGAAGCCTGGGCCACTAGACAGAAAAATATATAAACAATTTTCAATAATATGATTAACCAAGAGAAGCC